TATCTTTGAACTTTTGGTACATATTCAATGTTATCCTTGACCTTTAATTAATTGACGGATAACATTGGAAAATTTCATGTAATTTAGAGACAAGATTGAATATTTACCAAAACATTAAGGACCATATTGAACAAAGTAAAAATCTATGAATAATATTGTACGTTGAGCTAAAATTCAAGGACCACATTGAATAAATTAAAATTTTAAAAATAATATTGCATATTGAATTAAAGTTTAAGAATTATTTATGTAATCATCCTAAAATTTTACAAGTGTGAGTGTCAGAGAGAGCACCTAAGGTGTGTTTCGATCCTTGCATTCTTAATGACTGGGATAAAGAAAAGAGTAAATCTTATCCGATTATTGTAGAGTCTCTAACTTTCTTTGTTGCTATTTTGTATAGGAGTTTGGAAAATTGGTAAAGAGTTACAATTCGTTACAATTTGAGAATCTGTTTATGACCATAAAAATTCCCTTAATTACGCGGGAGGAGGGGACGCTTGAAATTATGTAAAATGTTTCAGACAAAAAAAGAAGAAGAAATAATGTAAAAATTTAAGTACTAAGGTTGTTTTTGGTCAAAAAGTACCAAGTTTGGTCAACCTCGTCTCGTCACTACTTCTTCCCAACAATTTTTCAACTGGGAAGTCGTGCTATCCCGCCAAAAATAAAAGAAAAAAGAAGAAAATAATCATGCTAATTCACGTTTAAACTTTACAGCCTTTGATTTTTTTTACCCATCCTGTTTTGAAATTCAGTGAAAAAAAAAGGTTTATTAAGGCTTGGTTTGTTTTACGAAAAATATTTTCCGGCATTTATTTCGTTTAACAAAATGAGTCAACGGAAAATCTACAATTAAATTATGAAAAACGATTTCCTCTTTAAAAAAATCAAAAATCATTTTTTTTAAAAATGACTAAATGTTGTGCTCGACTTGGAACTCTATGCTTGGATGGGCAAACCTCAACACTGGTTTCCGGGTCCCCAACACCTAGGCCCTAGTCCATCGAGACTGGGCCCGTGACCCCAGTGTTTGTGCCCCAATCCTCAGCGCCCTGGTCGAATCCATCGAGGCCGGACCTGGGATTCTAGTACCCGTACTCGGTTTCCTGACTACCCACGTACAAGTTACCAACGCCCGAATGATGTATGTCTATTTAGAAAAATCAAATCAGACCAAACGGCAGAAAATATTTTTCAATCTTCGGGTTTCTACCATATACCAAAAAATATTATCGTTATCCTAAAAAATAACTTTCCGAAATGTATATTTTTAAAAATGTCACATTTTCAGCAAAATAAACTGAGATTTTAAGGTTGCGAAACAAAAGTGGAATCAGTCTGAAATGCTCATCATTAATCTCGTCCTAGTAATATATCGATGGGTTAGTGAACAATGTCGACATCAAACGTGTATCCCGAGCCTCTTAAACATATGTGGTCTGGGGAGATCACAGGCGACGCATTGCATGAGATCCATGCCACATTCTCTTCACCATTGACTGGTAATACAAACTAATGCTCTACGACCATGCTGCCAAGTATGATTGGTTGAGTTTAAACTAATTAATGCTCGCAAGTTGATGATCCAGTTGATTCGGGTGCTTTCTCAATTTAACTTATAATTTTCATTGAACAATTTGATGGCGAGTCGGGATAAAAATAGACCAACTCAAATTGACTAATTTTTACATGATATAATTTTAGCAACTCATGTTAGACCTGGATCAGACCAGACCGGATCCGACTCCAATTCTTGTAAAATTTTCTCCTTAAATTATTGCTTATGAAGAATGGGCGACTCTATGGACCAGCTTGCTGAGTCGGTGAAGGAGCTCGGGTGTTCGGGTCGGGTCGTGCGCTAGGACTTCACGTGGCACATTAGTAACGTGGGCGGGCATCGCGCTGATACACAAGAATGCCTACGTGTATGGGTCCGAAGGTCAAGTTATGGAATGGGGCATGAAGAAGGTGGCAGTGAAACAAGGTGGTAGATCTTGCTCGGGTGATGAGAAATCCCCTCACTCTTGTGAACCGGTTTGCTTCCACCTCGGCGGCGACGGGCCAGTTCGCTCTAGTTCACAAGTTGTACTGGACTTGGCGCTCACTGTAAATGTCATCATCGCACCGCCTTGTCGCCGCCTCGGTGACAGCTCAATACATTCAAAAAAATAAATATCAAATATAAAATTAAGAAAACTTCTAAAGGTATTTTTTTGGCCTAAAAATTTCTCAAAAGCTTACCAAATAGAAAAACGCTAAAATCAAACAAACAATATAACAAGAGCAACATTTGCAGATGTGAAATTCTGAGATCTACAAGTTGCTTACTTTGGTTTGAAGCCTTAGCATTACTCCTTGATTAAATGAGTTAAAAAGTGAGTTTTTTTTTTTCAAACCCATTAGAACCCAACATCAATTGGTCTTTTGTTTATTAGACCCACTCTTACCTACATTCCATACCATAGGCAATCCATATATGACCCATGCCTTTGACTATGAGTTATGCTATGGGTCCATGACCCATTTTGCCGCTTTTAGTTGCATTTTGCTTATTCAATTTGTATTCAATTTTTAACCCGCCGGAGATATTTAGAAAATATTTGCAAAGCTTTTCACACCCAGTTTTACATTTATCATTCTTTAACATACCACATGTATTCGGTTTTTGTCTGATTCATTCTATTTAGTCGATGACATATAGTTTAATTTAGAATTGAGAGAATGTTCGCTCTTGTGCTTATCACACGGCACTTATTTTGCCTCTGTGATTGCATATGACAAAATATATGGTATAGTTCTGCCATGTGGCTGCATTTGACAAATGATTAAACTAAAAAATGCTTATGTATTTATCCATCCTCAAAGATATATTAGATGAATAATATCCATGTTTTGAAGTATAACTTATTTCCACATGAAATTAAGTACGGTACCTATTTAATTTCGCATCAGATTATAATAATTTTAATTGATTAAAAAAAGGAAAATTTGAACTTCGTAAGCTCTAATGTATTAGTTTATTATTCGAAGGATTCTTTTTCAATATTACAAAAAAAAAATTTAAGTAATGGACAAAGGGAGATGATCTTGAGTATTATTTTCTCCATTCAAACAATGATGAAAATGATACTTGAAGGATATAACACTAAGGTTCCGTTCGTTTCGCGGAAAATATGACGTTTTTGCAAAATGTTTTTCAAGAAAATGACAATATTTTCCAATATTCAACTGAAACCTGAAAATGAACTAGAAAATATTTTCTGTCATTTGGTATCTGATTTGATTTTCTAGAGAAAATTACCAAAAAAATTCGAATAATAATTATTATTATTATTTTCTTCCCTTTTCTTTTTGCTTCTTGCTTGGCCAATCGCCGGCCACGGTGACGACCAAGGACCGGCAACAAGAGAGCTCGAGCCTCACCTGTGGGCCTGTGGCTGGTCACCAACCACCGACTTGGCCGGCAACTTGCTGAGGAAGAAGCAAAAGGAAAAGGAAAGAAAGAAAGAAATAGAAAAATTTTGAAATTTAAAAAATAATTAAAAACTCAATTTTTTAAAAGTAAAATATAAAAAAGGGAAGAAAGAAAAAAATAATAAAAAAATAAAAGGAAAATGTGTTTGGTGCAAGAAAGATAATGGAAAATGCGTTTCTGCTTTTTTGAAAAGCGAAAAACATTAAGGTATTTTTTTCATTGGCAGAAAATGTTTTCCTCGACTGGTTTATTTTCCATGAATCGAGACACCGGAAAATGTTGGAAGTTGTTCTTCGTAAAATGAAAGGAGCCTAAATAAGGAAATCGACATACTTTGAAATAAAAATAAAACGGATTTTTTTAAAGAAGATAATAATATTCAAACTGTTCCTTTCCAATTTTCTTACCATGTATCTATTTAGCGAAATTTTGAATTTAAACCTTCAAACCGCATTTTATGTGTCAATTTACAAATCCTATTAGTCGATATTTTCTACACTCGAAAAAATGTTTTCATCGTCCACGAAAACATAAAGACATAAATTGCTATCGATAATAAAAAGATATTTTTTATTAATTAATTATTTAAATTAATATAATTAATATAAGCGATCGTTTTTTAGAGAAATATTTTGGGTTAATACAAAAAAAAAACCTCAAACTAGTACATCTGTGATAAATTTACCCAAAACTACTTTTTTTATCACAAAAAACCCCAAACTTGTACACCTGTGACAATTTTACCCCGAACTATTTTTTTAACCACCAAAAACCCCACACTGGTACACCAGTGACAATTTTACCCCGAACTAATTTTTTTACCACCAAAAACCCCAAGCTGATATACCTGTGGCAAATTTACCCTCCGTTAATTTTCATTAAATTTTACTATCAAATTTCTAAGTTTGATAACACGTGGTAGTTGACGGTGTGTACCAGCTTGGGGTTTTACCCTTCTGTTTGTCACAAGTTTATCAATTTGTGGTTTGTCGTGATTTTAACGAATACTAACGGAGGGTAAATTTATCACAAATGTACCAATTTGAGGTTTTTAGTGGCAAAAAAAATTAAATTCGGGTAAAATTGTCACAGGTGTACTAGTTTGAGATTTTTAACGATCAAAAAATTAGTTTGGGGTAAAATTGTCACAAGTGTACTAGTGTGAGGTTTTTTATGGTAAAAAAAAAATAGTTCGGATAAATTTGTCACGTGTATATCAGTTCGGGGTTTTTGGTGATCAAAAAATTAGTTCGGAGTAAAATCGTCATAAATATACCAGTTCAAAATTTTTCGTGATATTAAGTTATTCACCTAAATATTTTTTAAATTATTTATTTTTCGCGAACTGTTACATCACGCGCCAAAAGGGAGTAGGGCGTGCGCTTCATGATCCTCCATTCCCCCCCTTCAGGCGAAAAAACTACCTTTTGCTTCGTCACTCACACGTCCCATCTCTCTCTCTCTCTCTCTCTCTCTCTCTCTACCTCGCTCTCGCCGTTCCTTTGCTCCATCTCCAAGCTCCGAACTCGCTCACTCATTCACTCACTTCCTCTCTCCTCTGTAACAACCCCGTCCCCTTCTCTCTCTCTCTAACCTCGTCGCAGAGACCGGAGAAGAACCTCCGGCGCCGGCCGGCCATGGTCCCGCTCCCTCCCGACGATCGCCTCCAGGCCTCGCCGAGCTCTTGAGAAGTAGCGCGGGGCGACGGCGGCTGCTGCTCCGACCTCCTGCTCCTTCGCCGGCGACGGAATGCTCGATCTCAACCTCGGCGTCGCTCCCGGCGATCCCGCCTCCGATTCGATCGGGATGGCGAGCGGGAAGCTGCTCCCGGAAGCGTCCGCGGATCGTCCGGTCGAGAGCCCCGGGAGCTTCGCCTCCTCGATTCTGAGCGCCGAGGTCGCCGACGACACCTGCTCTCGCGGCGGCGGCGTCGTCTTCGCTTACGACTTCGGCTTGGTCGCCGGCATTGGCTCCCGCTGCGCCGGCGACGGCAGGCCCGTGGAGGTTTTCGATAGCGGAGAAGGTGACGGCGACCGGACGATTCAGCTGTTCCCGGCGGCGGCGGTTAATGGCGGCGGCGGCGGCGGTTTCGGCGGCGCCGGAGGCTTTTCCGGCTCTCAGTCGCGGCGTCAGCGGTTGGACCTCATGTGCCTGGAGGGCGCGCGCTCGAAGGAGGAGCCTCAGCCGTCGCAGCAACAGAGGCCATCGGTGAAGAGGAGTAGGCGCGGGCCGCGGTCTCGGAGCTCGCAGTATCGCGGCGTGACGTTTTACCGGCGGACCAGTCGGTGGGAGTCGCATATTTGGTTAGTGCTGATGGTACTGTTTAAGCGTCTCCTTATTTAGATTAAACAGGAGGATGAAACATGCTTCGGATGGCTTGAGCTTTCTCGGTGGGATGGAATCCTTCTTCTTGACGCACGATAATGCTATTCTGATTCTGATTTGACTGCACATGTCTTGTCGTGATGCTTTTATCTTGAGCAAGTTGCTTGTCTTTATGCAGGGATTCTGGGAAACAAGTGTACTTGGGTGAGCGACATGATATTTTCTTGCTTGTTTCTACTTATGTACTGGTTTATGCGCTGCGTCCGCTTTCTTGGTTCAGCATTACTGGTCACAGAAGGCCTAGCGTTAATTGTGTTTCACTCTTTTTTTGTCCCCTCTGTTCCTGGTTTGATTAGGGGGATTTGATACTGCTCACACCGCTGCTAGGTGAATACTTCCACTCAGTGAATGTGTCAATGTTGATTCTTGCAATTTCTGGCTTTGTTGGGAATCAGCTAAAAAAGTATCGTTAATGGTTTTCTGCAACTAGAGCTTATGATCGAGCTGCCATCAAGTTTCGTGGACTAGATGCGGATATCAACTTTAATATCAGCGACTATGAGGAAGACATTAAGCAGGTTGGTTTGATCCTCAAATTTCACTGCGGGTTTGTATTGTTATTCTGTGTTTATTGTTCTGCAGATGAGTAACTTCACGAAGGAAGAATTTGTGCATATTCTTCGGCGGCAAAGCACAGGATTCACTAGAGGGAGCTCCAAGTACAGAGGTGTTACACTGCACAAATGTGGACGGTGGGAAGCTCGAATGGGGCAGTTCCTCGGCAAGAAGTAATGAGTTCTTTCATCGATGTTGATTTCACTTTTGGCTTTACCTGTTTATTTCCTTTTATTGCGCATCTTTAAGGTCATAGCATCTCTATGTTCACTGGCTGCATGCAATGTCAATACAGAATTTTGAGAGCAAACTGAATGTAAGCAATTGTAGACTTGGTTTTCACTGCAAAGCAAACATTCCTCTACAGGTGTATATATCTTGGGCTATTTGATAGCGAGATAGAAGCTGCAAGGTCTCGCTGCTCATTGACTTTTTATCTTCTTTAAGTCTTGTTGAATTATTGGTCCCCAAGGCTTCAAAAGGGACCATTAAAGAATAATGTGTTATTCTTCTCCAAAAATCAGGGCGTATGATAAGGCCGCAATAAAATGCAGTGGAAGGGAAGCCGTCACCAACTTTGAGCCAGGCAAATATGAAGAAGAAGAAGAAGAAATGGGTGAGGCTGGGAAATGGGCTAGAAACTATGCTGAAATGCTAACTTTTAGTACCTGCATGTGCTTTTTGGTTGGGGAAAAAACATTCCAGCATGTGCTTATAATGGACCTTCTCGATGCAGATGGGAACCATAGCCTCGATTTGAACTTGGGGATTGCCCCTCCTGATAAACTTGATGGTACTGGTGGTCCTCCTTTTCCACTTCAATCGAACGGAATGCATTGTTACCCAATACCTAGGGTAATTCTCATATCCTGCTATTGAGGTTCATCTTTGACTTAGCTTAAATGTGCAATTTGGACTTCAATAGATATAGAAATGTATTTGCTGCTAATATACGGTTATTCATATTCATGCGAGAACAGATTGAGAACTCTTCTTCAGCCGTACCGGGGGCTCAAGAGCTCCACCACCCACCTGTTGTATCTGAGCATCTCTCCTGCTTAAGTGGTCAAAATTCGATTTTCTTTCCCTCGCACAAGGTAATAATTGGCTGTAGCATGGTTGTTTATACATTTCCTGGTTTGAAATAGCTTTCGCCTTCCAATTTTGTTCGTGTCAAGTGCAGATTTCTGACAGTTTGTAGTACTTGCAAATCACACGCATTTCCTAGCCATTATCTATCATTCACTGATTTTGCAGGGAACAGCAATAGCGAAGCGAGCGGAAGTTGATCCCTTGTCAAACTGGGCATCTCAGTTTGGAGGCCCTTATGGTGGAACAACTCCAGCGCCGTTCTTCTCTACCGCAGCATCATCAGGATTCTCTTCTTCAGTCGCTGCTACGCCATCAGCTGCTGCATATCACCAATACCTTTAGTCGATAGTTTTGCTTCACCAATTACCACTCCACGACAAGCGTTTCACTGATTATTCAGGCACGACTCCGAAGTTCTCTTTCATACCGCGAGAGGAATATCGATCTTCCACGCAGGACCAGCAGTCCAGTGCCGAAAGTTCTCAAGCTGAAATACCAATGTTTTGTGACAAATACGATTCTTCTAGTAAAGCGAATCGCACGATCTCATCTCGGTAGCGGAAAGTAATGAGTTTGGATTTCCCTTTTTCCTTTGCCTCCTTTCATATGTGAATCTAGTTCACAAACTCTCGCTTGTTCAGGCACTTGGCTCCAGCTACATCTTTTTTTCTTGGATGGTCGCAATCTCTATACTCGAGTGGTTTCCCTTCAAGTATAGATAATCTAGCTGCAGTCCTGTGCTCTCTTTCCATTGCCATCCGATTCTTGTATAGATATCAGTAAAGAGCCTACTCTTCAGCTTCTAGACAAGAAAGAAAAAGGAATTGATTGGTATTTTTAATTCGGTGAATTATTTTTGCATTAATGAATCATTTAAAAATGCATAATGAGTATGTAATTTTTTTAAATTAACCTTTTTTTAAGGCATTTTATCACTTTACTTAATTGCGTTTCTTTCCCTTAAATTATCTTCTTATTTTAATTGATATATTCATCAAAATATCACCTTTTTTTTTAACAATAGTATCGAAATTTATTTTGCGGAAATCAATATTTTAGTTAATTAATTTTTCTTTGTTTTCTTTTATTTTCTTAATATAAATGAAGGGTAAAAGAGAGATTATATTTATAAAAAAAAAAGAGATGAAATTATACTTTTATCATTTAAAAATCGCGTGCATTGCATATGCTAACAACAAATATAACAACGGAGTAACAACCGTAGCACAATCAAAGTCCAAAGAGATATTATAAAACTGTCAAAAGTTCAAGCTCAAATATATACTGCTATCTTCAAATTTCGAGAGAATTTTGTATCATCTTTCAACCAAACAAAAAATTTTGATACCGTTTTGTCGAAATGAAAATGAAAATTCATTCACTGCCGGAGAAAAGGAAGCATCGGCATGTTTTTGGGAGGGAGTTCAAGCTATATAGTATATATGAGAGTACGACAGTAGTAGAGTGGGAGTAGTGTGGGTTGAATGACACTGTCATCGTGCTTTCACTTGTCACAGCATGCCACGTGTCGAACTCTCGTGATCCTGCCATCATCATCCTCGGTAAGGAAATTCCGCATTCCTCGGCTTTTCCTACATAGTCTGGTACGGCACCTCCTCCGGGAAGGAAAAAATAAGCGTTAACATCGTAAAAAAACTCTAAATTGATATAATTATGATAAATTCATCTCAAATTATTTTTTTTTATCACAAAAAATTTTAAACTGATACGCCTGTGATAATTTTACCTCAAACTATTTTTTTAATCACCAAAAACCCTATACTCGTACACATGTGACAACTTTATCTCCGAACTAATTTTTTGATCACAAAAAACGTACATCTGTAATAAATTTACTCTCCGTTAGTTTCCGTTAAATTTTACTGTCAAATTGCTAAGTTTAATAACACGTGGTAATTGACACGTGTATTGGTTTTGGGTTTTACCCCTTTATTTGTCACAAATTCATCAATTTGTGATTTTTCGTGATATTAATCCAATTTAACGGATATTAAGGAAGGGTAAATTTGTCACAAATATACTAGTTTTGGGTTTTTAGAGGTCAAAAAATTAGTTTTGGGTAAAATTGTCACAGGTGTACCAGTTTGGAGATTTTGGTGGTCAAAAAATTAGTTCGGGATAAAATTGTCATAGATGTACCAGTTTGAGATTTTTTATGGTAAAAAAATTGGTTCGGGGTAAAATTGTCACAAGTGTACCAGTTTGGAGTTTTTTGTGGTAAAAAAAATAGTTCGGGGTAAAATTATCATAGGTGTACCAGTTTAGGGTTTTTCGTGGTATTAACCAAAAAATTTAAAATTTTAAAAATTTAATATAATAAAAGAATGATCAATACCACAAAAATCCCGAATTAATATATCGGTACAACTTCTACTCTCAAACTAATTCTTGTATAATAAAAACTCCCAATTCAGTATATATGTGCTACATTTGATTTTTTTTTTTTGAGTTAAATGTAACATGGGTGTATTAGTTTTGAGTACATGTAGCAAGGATGTTATTAGTCAAGGAATTTTTATGACAAAAAAATTAGTTTAGGGTAAATGTGACATTGATGTACCGGTTTGGGGGGTTTTAGTGATGCAAAAATGAATTTGGAGTAAAGATGGCATGAATATATCGGTTTAGAATTTTAAGTGGTATTACTCCAAATAAAATAAAATAAAAAAGGGACCAATCAAATCACGAGAAAAACTTGGAGTCCTCCGTTGTACCGCTAGAAATGAAAAAAATATGGATCCTATAGAAAGAGACGTTTTATTATTCCAGGCCCAAGGGAGGGTCCCCTATTCCCTATCACGCAGTTAACAAAATGCCTCCGAGATGCTACTTTAGTTCTCTCAATCAAACCATTCGACACCTAAAATTTTCATGCCATAAATCACATTTAGATAGGGATCGAGTACATTGATATTGTTAAAATTTGGCCCTCAAGTAGAACACTGGCATTACATACTTTCGCATAAGTGCATCGAAAGTCCTAAAACTTATCACGAAAGTGTAATTAAGTTCTAAAACTTTCAAAAAGTACAATCAAGTCTTAAAACTTATCAAGAAAGTTCAATCGAGTCTTAAAACTTGTCAAGAAAGTAATACGGTCCTAAAACTTGTCACGAAAGTGCAATTGAGTCCGAAAACTTTTTGAAAAATGTAATTAAGTCCAAAAACTTGTCACGAAAGCGCAATCGAGTCTTAAAACTTTCAAAAAATGCAATTAAGTCCTAAAACTTATTACGAAAGTACAACTAAGTCCTAAAACTTTCAAAAGTGCAATCAACGGAAGGACTTCATTGGATCAATTTAACGAGTTTTAGGACTCGATTGCACTTTTTGAAAGTTTTAGGACTCAATTGCACTTTCATGACAAGTTTTGGGACTTGATTGCACTTTTTGAAAGTTTTAAGATTCGATTGCATTTTCGTGACAAGTTTTGGGACTTACAATGTACCTATTTTTTCTTCTTTTTTTCCTATTGCATTCTCCCGCATTTTGAAATTATTTACATTTGTCTAAGAGAGCAACATTCCCACCTCTGAACATTGGTTTAGACAAGATGATGAGTTTTTGTGAACTTGCTTGACATGTGATCCGGCTCGAATTTCGAACCAAAATGATTTTCTACATCATGCATTCTTTTTCGCCCTAAACATTGATTTCTACATTGCGGGTCAGCGATAACAATCTTAGCATCACTTAGCTTGGCTACGTAACATTGTCCTTGCCCAGGTTCCCCAAGCTTCGACCCCGACACCGCCACTCGCTACGTTGCGGCCATACTTTGACAATCCGTCGTCAGGGCGGTCTAGTGTTACTAAGCTAAGCTTAGAATTTCTAGTTAAACACAGACTAGTGTTTTTTAGGTCCAGTTTCGAGACGCTTAATAGGTCTAATCAACCTTAGAATAGGTCAGGGGTGACTCTTGGAAAGATATATATCATGAAATTCCAAGTTGCGACGTGGGCTGGATTTGAGAGAATCCAATGAGGTGGTGTTTGGAGGGTTGATTGTGTTTGTGAAGTATCAATTGTGCACGTTATGATTGTTGCTCATGTTGGTATCGCTTTTAATTAGGAGTGTGCAAAACGGGCCGCCCAATCTGGGAACCGTCCATTCCGGCTGGTTTGGTCCAGTTTTCGGCTGGTTTAAAACCGGACCGACTGCATATACTTTTTTTTATTGTTTTATTTCTTCAAAAAAAAAAATAATAAAATGTGAACTAAATCCTAAATGAACTTTATTGATAAAAATTGGTAAAATCCCGACCCTAGGATCAACCGGTCCGGTTCCCGATTCCACCTTGAAATTGGATCGGACCGGAAACCGATCACCTCTAGCTTTAACACTACACCTCTTGCATATATTCCTGCAACATGAAAGTTCGGGTTGCATCAAGGAAGTCAAGGATAGATAGGGAAAGAAAAGGACGAAGCTTTCTACAAACCGAAGGTGGTGTTACGCCAACTCGGCTCCGTTCATTTTACGGGAGGTCATGACTCACGTGACACATGAAGTGAGACTCTTGAACCTTAGATAGCAATATGGCATCCATCTTTAGACATTAAATTTCACAAGTTCGTACGCATGTTTATGTCTTTATATTATGGCTAACCTATTTTTTAATGGTCTACTTTTGCATTTTCATTTCTGTAAAAAAAAGGGGGAAAATTAATATTGATCATTAAGGGTGCACATGATTAATCATTATATTTCTCTATTTTTCTATTCCCGAGAACAGATTTGGAACAAAAATTCGTTGAGTAACTCAATTTCATTTTTCTATTTCTGGAACAAATTTTGAGTCTAGAAATAGGTCTGGAATATAAATGAGAAGTGAAAATTTCTTACTTTTTTATTTCTGAAACAAAAAAAGAAATAAAAACTCTTTTCATCGCTCGCCCTCACCTCCCCCCTCTCGCTGCCACCCCCTGCCGATTGCCGCCACCCCCCGCCAGCCGCCTACCGATTGCCGCCGTGTGATCCACTTAATGTCGAGTTATTCACAAATCCTTCGTGTATGACCAAATTACTTGTACCGGATTCGAGGAGAAACCGAAATGATCACTCCGTACACGCCCACTTCAAAGATTACGCTCCGGTCATGACGTGAATTCGATCGCCCTTTACCAGTAAGGTTTGAATTCCATCGGGACAAAATTCATTTAGAAGAATTCTATAGTTATAGACGGTTCATCAAATACGAGAAGTCTTCAAAACTGATTTGTCACTCGTACACAGCAATTTTCTCATGACAACAGTTAATTGTGTAAATTACAATCACAATCACAATCATCATCGCATCTCATTTCTAGGAGTCGCTCGGGCTTGCCACTGTCACCCCCAAAGAGAACCAAATCGCACAAAGAATTAAAAATGAACAAACAAAAAACACCAGGAGATGAAGGAGAGGCCGCGCTCCCCCGGCACGTGGCGCCGCGCGATTGGCCGGCGCGTCGCGACTTTTCCCGCCACCCGGTCATCCGTTTCAACCCGCCGAGCGCGATCAGGAGCCGTCCATCATGCTCCAGGAGTCGCCATTGATGGCCCCAGGAAAAGCTCGAGCTCGAGCTAGAACCTTCCCGTCTGATGGTGATCCTATCTATATTCATATAACAGTCTCGTCTCCTCCGCGCCACCATTACCAGGTACTTCTTCAGTTTCTGAGGTCTGTATCGCACACCCTCTCTCTCTCTCTCTTTCTCTTCTTTCGATTGGTGCGGTCGGAAGATCTGAGTCGCAGCGCGAAGCTGTGTGCTAGGGAAGGCCACATGGCCAAGTGCTACCCGACCGTGGGCGAGGAGTACCAGAAAGCCGTCGCGAAATGCAAGAGGAAGCTCCGGGGGCTCATCGCCGAGAAGCACTGTGCTCCGATCATCCTTCAGCTGGCGTAAGTGTGTCTCGCGACACCCGCCTAGTTCCGCCTCCGTTTAATAACCAGTACCGATGAATATAAATACAGAGGATTTACTTGTTACTAATATAGTTTAGCCTCCGCTCTTCTTTCTTTAGATCCCTTGTTTCACTCCGGTAGTATCTTAAATCAGGTCGATGTATAGGAAATGGCTGCATTTAAGTAAAATGTTCTGACCAAAAAAATAAAAGTAAGTAAAATGCAAAATAGCTAAAACAAAATCTGTCTGAAGTTACATTACTTATTCTAAAAGTTTGAGTCCATAGATGAAGAACATGCACAACTGTAGTTTTAATCAAAGCCTCTTGATTAGTGAGGGAAGAGACAAATGCGGGACAAAGATCTCGATCTCGCTCGGACACCATTTGGAGCGACGGGATATTCATCTCGATGCTTAAACTTGTGGATGGAGGACTGTTTTCGACATTTAATGATCGAACTATGTGCACTGGTCCAGTATAAGCATCGCTTGTGGATAGAGTCTTTGTTTTCATTATTATGGATGTAGCACGATTATAGATTTCGTAATGATTGTTAATTTCTGGTTCGGTGCTCATTTGCGTCGCAGATGGCACTCCGCCGGCACCTTCGATGTGAAGACGAAAACGGGAGGTCCCTTCGGGACAATCAGGCACCCTGCGGAGCTTGCTCATGAAGCGAACAATGGATTGGATATCGCCATCAGGCTTCTGGAGCCAATCAAGGAACAGTTTCCGATCCTGTCTTATGCGGACTTCTACCAGGTATGACTGTCAAATGCAGTTACACCACAATTGAATTCAAGTTATCAGACTACAAATCATATGTGCTTCATTTGGGCACGACACTGAAATTTTTTAATGTTGCAATGGAAGTTGGCTGGGGTTTTGCTGCTGAGATAACTGGAGGGCCTGAGATTCCTTTCCACCCTGGGAGACCCGTAAGTTAATATTTACCTTTCTTCCAAAACTTGTGTAAAGATGAGCTACTTGTTCATGCTCAACTTATTTTCATATATGGGCAGAAGAGGAAGGTTGTGCCCTCTCCTTCTCTTGCATGGCTGATCTTCATAGTTCTACTAAATTTAGGAGCTTTCTTAAGTGGCTTGATGAGGAGTTTACGTGCATGACCAAGCTGTTGTTCTTTTCTCAAATTAGAATTAAGAAAGATGTGCCTGCTGGGATTCTGGTCCTGTTCAGCCTGAATAAACTATTCTAGCTCCTCCAGTACAGACTTGTAATCTTTGAGAGACTAGCAGCCATTGTTGGTAGGATTTTATGTGAATCTAAATAGCAGGAAAAGAGGACACTAAGGACTTCATTGACAAACATAGAAGGAAGATTCACATAGGTACGTAATAGAGCTGATAGAACCTCTGGAAGCAAACAAATACAAGTAAAAAACCTTGAAGTGTCCGAAGTCCGATAACTTGTGAATGGTAATCATCCTGTGAAACCAATTATTGTGACATGTTTATGAGCGAGCTAACGTTGCTGCTGATGCAGCAACGAAAAGTCTCAGGAAAAATGCAATATTTCCCCTGGCAATGACCAAACTTATAATATGAAACTCAGTGAATATCAATTTGATAATCATTTCTTATGATGTCCCGGTCTTCTTGTCTATTGAATTAATACTTACACTGAATATTGAACTCCTCCATAGTTATTAAAGCTGCTGATGTTAAAATGAAATTTGTGCTGGGATTTGCTAATCATTGGATAAAATTGTTCTGATATGTGCGGTTTCATTCTCAGAATTGATGATGATTGATGTGTATCGGGCCTCTTGTTCAGCCTATGGATTTCCTTCTGGTATGCTCACTTTGTTCTATCTTCTCGATGTAAAATGGGTTTCGAGGTTTCTCGGCTGCTATGCACAAAGAAAATAAGAAATGATTTCTCTCATCGAAACTCTGGCAACTGTACTTAGTTTGTCCAACAACCCGACTTCAGTGATGCAGGTTATGCTAGTGTGTTATTTTGAAATTTCATATCCTTTAGCTTAATATCCGCCTTCTCTTCATCCTTTCTTACAACACAATGGTCAATCCTGATTGAAATATTGTTTGTTTAGATAAGATACTGCATTCTTGTCCTTTCTTGGTGTATTAGTTAGTGGACTATATAATGCTTGGCACCATAAGCCGTGGAAACTTGAATTGCGTATCCCTGCAGTTCAGATAAAAGCAAAAGTTCTCTAATGAGACTTAGATATGAAGGTATCAATAAAGTTCTAATAAATTACATTTTGCTCAGGACAAAAATGAACCTCCCCCTGAAGGCCGGTTGCCAGAAGCTACAAAAGGTTAGTAGTTTGCTTGCAGTAAAGTGCGACAAGATTATTACTGGTTCCTATGCCTCGATGAGTTAATCGTTAAGCCACTTACTTCAGGTTCCGACCATCTAAGACAAGTCTTTGGCCATATGGGTCTTAGCGACAAAGATATCGTTGCCCTATCTGGTGGGCACACTTTGGTAAGTCGATTAGTTGCACAGGTTTCACTCAGAATTACACATTTTCTAAGAAGTAAGTCAATGTTTTGCAGTTTTGATGATCTCATGAATAATTCTATTTATTGATGGTCCTATACGCCCATTTCAACAGGGTAGATGCCACAAGGAACGCTCTGGATTTGAAGGACCCTGGACTGCCAACCCTCTCATTTTTGACAACTCCTACTTTAAGTAAGCATTATCCTGCTCTATTCTTCTATAGTCAACTCTGCAGCTATATATCACCTGCTTAACCTCTGTAATTAGTTTTTTGACTTGCTCATGCTGTTGGGTCTCTAATGCTGACAATTTTGATATCTGTGGATGTTGCAATGAAACAGGGAACTCCTTAGTGGAGACAAGGAAGGTCTGATCAAGCTACCATCCGACACGGCCCTTATTGAAGATCCAGTCTTTCGTCCTCTCGTTGAGAAGCACGCTGCGGTATGTTTGCAACTTGATGTTCTATCGTCATTCCGGAGAATTTTGTGGGGCCATCAACGGTGAAAACATCTTTTTTTGCAATCATCTAATCGGGAGGCTGCTTCGGATGTTTCAGGACGAGGATGCATTCTTCTTGGATTATGAAGAAGCTCACCTGAAGCTGTCGGAGCTAGGGTGAGTCAGAGACCACATTCTGTTCAATACAATTCCACTGCAATATTCCTTTGACTTCCTCATCTTCTATTCACTATCTGTTCACTACTGGTCTACCTTCGCTTCCTCCATATATCAGTCTTGGCTCATGGAGATGGAACTAACCCTTTCCCACCCTTTCCCACTACTTGAACTAGATTTGCGGATGCTTAGCAAGGAGGCGAGAGGGGGCGGCGTCTGTCATCGTAGAGGCTGTTTCGGAACTTCATGTGCATCTTTCTTGATCTTCAACATATGTCTGTGACATGAGTCTGGTGTGCTTTGTTCATGTGTAGCTATGTGGTTTGGTCTTCTTTCTGCAAAATAAGGTTCACCACAAATTTGATGGTTTGTTGTAGTAATTTGCTTCTCCATTTCTAGCCTATACCATCTGTATCTAGAGAACCTTCCTCCTGTATGAAAAGTGAGCATTCATAGAGAAGCATTTACAGTAGGGTTTGTGATTGTGTGACTGGTGAATTTGAAGAACCTTCCTCCAATCCAAGCATCAAAATTCGCTAAAAATGAATGATTTGTAAAAAGATCACTTATATCATTAACAAAAATGAATAAATGAAAAATATTTTTAATATTTACGAAAATATTTAAACTTAAATTGTTGTCGGTAATGAAAATATTTTTTATCGGCTGGTTATTTCGAATGATATAAATAATCATTTTTGGGAAAATATTTTCTAATTTATTTATTTTTTTCGAAACAAACGGAGCTTAAATCGTAGCTAACCATGGAAAAAGGCTAGAGACTCGGGCGCTCAACGGTGGGAAAGCAATTGGCATTCCCAAGCTTATACAATGTTTTTAGAGTTAATACCACTAAAAATCTCAAACTAGTAAATCTGTGATAAATTTACCCCAGACTAATTTTTTTACCACAAAAATCTTCAAACTGGTACACCTGTGTCAAATTTACCAAAAACTAATTTTTTTACCATAAAAATTCCCAAACTGGTACACCTGTAACAAATTTACCCCAAACTAATTTTTTGACCATCAAAAACACCAAACTAATACATTTGTGACAAATTTACTCTCCGTTAATTTCCGTTAAATTGGATTAATATCACAAAAAATCACAAACCAGTACGCCTATGACAAACAAAGGGTAAAACCCAAAACTGGTATATTCATCAGCTATCGCGTGTCGTTTAACAAAACTTGATAGTAAAATTTAATGGAAACTAACGAAAGGTAAATTTGTCGCAGGCGTACCAGTTTGGGATTTTTCGTAGTCAAAAAATTAGTTTGTGGTAAATTTATCACAGGTGTACCATTTTGGGGTTTTTTGTGGTATTAACCCTTGTTTTTAACCCAAAACTTTCCATCAATAAATTCCAAGACATACTTAAAATCGGGAAAATTATCCAATCAGTCATAAACTTATTTTACATTTGCCAATTCAATCTAAAAATTTTCAATTTTGTCCTAAAGCATTGCGCGAAATTTCAATGAAATCCTTTTCGTCAATTTTCGCCGAAAATTGCTGATGTGGCAGTGTCCACGTAGGGCACCACTTCAGCGATTTCCAGCAAAAATTGACTGAAAGAACTGTATTGAAATTTCGATCAAATATTTAGAATTAAATTAACAAAATTAAGACCGAATTGATATTCGAACAATAAGTTTAGAATTGATTGGACAATGTCTCCACTTAAAATCTAATCCAATAGAACTATCCCAATATTATACCATATCCGCAGAACACCAGCACAGCAGCGGACCCCCTTTCATGCACATTCTAAGCAATTACACTTTTTGACTTTGGCCGCAAATTCCTTCATTGATAACATAGAACTACCTAGAACACTTCTTTCTCTTCTTTTTTTATATATTTATAATAAGAGAATTATTGCCAACTAAAATCACTTTCTTATAATTTCATGTGCGAGATGTGGTTACATCCATGCTGATAAGAATCTTTATGTTCTTCTATAGAGAGTGGACCAGACCGTCCCCTGCCCAAAAAATTAATGCTGCAGTACAATTAAATTGAGTTAGATCATCCATTTTAACATCCTTCAGCGCGATGAAACTAGCACCGTTGAATTTTCCATGAGTATAATGGCGCAAAAAGTCAAATTTTAAGCAGTCCCGAGATCAACTATTATCTTTAATTTGAAAAATCATGAAAAATCTTTACTTTTATTTGACTTCAAGTGTCCACATTTATATGATTTTATAGATTTGAAGTGCTCGAAATAAACTAAAAGTAAAATTAATTCGACTACTAGACATGTTAGCAAAAATTACTTTAAAAGTAGGTGTACTAAGCTAGCCTACAAGATTGGTACACTAGCCTTGATTAGTTCATTAAGTACTGAAATTAGAGCACTCAGTCTCCATAGACTTCGTTGGAATTTACTCAAGGAGACACTGGACCATGATATACACTAAGAAGAATTGCATAATTCAGCATGTCCTTAGAGAAGGCAATCAGCCGGTGGATTAGCTCAGCAACTATGGAATCCAATTCTAGTCGAACTAGGGCTGATCGATTCCCGATCCGGTTCTAGAAAACGGGAACCGGACCCGGAGGACTTGTCCAATTTCTAGAACTGAAAACCGGACCACTTGACCTTGGAACAGGAAACCGGATCACCTGATCCTAGAACCGGTGGACGCTGAGCTTGTCAGCTAAGTCGAGGCTCCAGCCAAGGAAGAAGTCGAAGAGGATGGCCACGGGAGGGTTGGGGTAGGAGGCAAACCACCGGACGAAGGGCAGCCGGAGGGCAAAGATCAAAGCTAATCCAGAGAATGCATAATTGAGATCAAAGCCCTCACCCATGATTCACATCTCTTACACTTCCGACCAAATCAAATTCACCCAAAAGCAGGATAAGTGAAAACCTAGAACACGAACTAGATACTAAACGAATGACTTAATTCGTACAATGTCGCATTGTCCGAGTCCTTCACGAAAAATTCCAGTCACTGAGGCCCCGTTTGGTTCAGCATTTCGAAAAAGCCTTTGGTCAAATGCAAAGATCTTTAGCCTAAAAGACTTTGGGAATATGCTAGACTGTTTGGTAAACTATAACTGAAAATGGCTTTGGGGAAATGCTAGACTATTTGGTAAACATATATTTGCAAAGCTCTTTGGTGTAACCAAATTAAGTTTTTTAATTTTTAAATTTTAAAAATTGAAAAAAAGAAATAATGATAGTAACTTTTATATTTTCACGTTGAGAGCAATGTAAAACATACATATTGACATTTATAGAAAAAAAAATCACATCCTACAACGTTGCAAGACATTATTGTACGTTGCTCTATCACTATTTAACCACCAAGTGTGGATTTTTTTGGGACGATTGGGTTGTGGCCGTGTAATTTGATTCATTCAGGAAGGTAAAATTCATCTGCAAACAAAACCAGGGAGTCATTTTCTTTATTCTTACACGAAAACCCCTACAAACAATACCGTGGCTATCTTACACGAAAACCCCTGCAAAAATCTTTTACTGCTGGGGGAATTTGACTAGAAGAGAGTCATTTCATTACAAGACTAACCACTGGAATACATAATAAACATGTATTCCGTATTACAAAATACACAACCCCGAAGCTGAACATGTTGAACTCTCTAGTAGTTTTCAGTCCGCTTAATATTACAAACCTCCTTAACAACTTTGTAAACTCATGGCTATCCTATCACGCAAACGTGCCATGTCAGGAGATGCATTATTATTTGAAGCACTCACCCCCTCATTCGCATCATCATGGTCAACTGAATATCCATAATCGGGATCCAATTCTGCTTGTTCAAAATCCGTATCAATCACGAAATTTCTTCGTATATAATTGTGCAAAGCCATTGTCGCTACGACAATTTGCACTTGCTTTTTGTACAGATAACTTGGCATATGACTTAGAATCCCCCACTTTTGTTTTAATACGCCAAAAGCTCGCTCAATTGCTGAGCGTAGCGATGAATGGGCGCGATTAAACACTTCTCGATATCCCGTTGGTGAAGGACCATCTCGAAACTCTGGCAAATGATATCTGACTTCTTTATATGGCCCTAAATAACCCATGGAATTTGGATATCCGACATCTACTAAGTAATATTTACCTACACAAATATATTATAAATTCCATCAATATATGCCACATAGATACATGTATTTACAGAACCATTAAATAACGAACCTCGAGGAGGACGGGGAAAATGTGCATCACGTCTTCCAACGGCTTCATAAAAGATACGGGTGTCATGAGCTTGTCCCTCCCAACCAGCCCAAACATAGACAAATTCCATATTAAAATTACATATGGCTAACACATTTTGAGTCGTCGTTCCTTTTTGACCAATAAATCGAATTTGATCGTACGTAGGTACCACTGCTAGGATATGTGTATCATCCATAGCTCCAATGCAATCCTTAAAATATGGATAAAATTATCGGTCTTTCTTGATCTTCTCTGGAACTTCCCTATATTGTCGATCCGTTGGTTGGATCAAATCTTTTCCCATATCACATACTTTATCTAAAACTAAGCTAAAGTGCCTACTTATGGTTTCCCTAGAGCGCTGAAAGCGCTTTTGTGCTAACCTATTACCTATACCATGTCCCAAAATATGAAGAAACATATCAACCATTTCTGCAACATCAGTATTCCAAGATCCTTGAAGACCATATCGTGTAACTAAGTCATGCGTTAAATTATTAAATACAACCTTATACATTCTAAACATATTATAGCACCTTATGGGATTAGCATCTTCGCCTATTAACTCTTTTAACCATGCATAACCTGTATATGTCGAGGTCATGCAAGGTTGTTTGCAAACTCGCCAAACTCGCCATCCCAATAATAGCCACTCAAATCAAGGTAACAAATCCCCAATCCTTTCGGGCAGAAAAAATCCGATTTCTTCATTATCAAGAAACCTAACAATCCCAACAAACAACTACCAAACGCCGGCCCCACAGCCATCGTAGTCACTGGCGGACACCCACCTTCTAGAAAACCCTCCAATGGCAGGAGATAGTCATCGTCGGAAGAAGATAAAACCCTAACAGAAACTTCCCCACTACTTCGCTAGAAACCGCACAGAGAGAGGGTCATTAAGAGAAGAAGCAAGCAAACCTGAGGAAATGAAGTGATGATCGCCCTCGAATTGAAGTAAGAAGATCCATGATTGAGAAGAACTGAATCAATGATCAAAAGTCTTTGCGAGTTGTGACACACAGAAAGCGAGAGGGAGAGAGAGAGGACAGAGACAACCTTTCTTTCTTGGATGGGAATTGCCTAGCCTTCTTATATAGGAAGCCAAAGCGCATTCATGTCACGAAGATGGAAATCGGTCCGGTTCGAGCGATCAAGTTCTCACCCTGGAACCAGAAACTAGACCGCCCGTCATTGGTTCCAATTTTATGGAATCGGAAACCGGACTAGCACTCCTGGAAACCACTCAAAACCGGCTAGTCCGGCCCCTGGGAGCAGCCCAGAACTGGCCGGTCTAGGCAATTCCAGGTTCGGGTGATTCTTGTTGCACACCCCTAACTCGAACTTTGGTTTTATGAATACGCTATTGCAAGATCTTTGTTTTATGCGTTTTGGTGACACGGTAAGAAATAGAAATTAGTTGACTGATTGTTTTAGTCCCTTGTGATTAGCCAAAAATGGAAAAAACGCACTAAGTCCTAAATTAAAATTAACCTTGTTTGGTAATGCTGACCAACTAGATTAAGAAGAGAAAAGTTCCTTAATTCATTCGACAGAGAGGTCTATGCAATGAAACATGGATATTGTCAATTGTATTGCTCAAATTTTTCCATTGCAAATACTATCAATAATTGTACATTTGATAAGAAACTTATGATATTCGTATGTGAATTTTCAGCTTTGAATTGAAATTCTTTAAATTAAGTTGTTTAGTTTCATTTTGAAGTTAGGGAAAAAACCATAAAAAATCTCAAACTATATCTATTGTGACATATTTATTCTAAATTTTTTTTTTTGATAACCCAGGGAACCCCCGCACGGCCGACAGCCGGGGAGTAAACCCTGGGGGCGACACGTGCTAGCCACCACACACGTGCCACCGGTTAAGTCACCCTGCGGCGCCCGGGATTCAAACACTCAACCTTTTGCGAGAGGAAGAGTGCGCGCTCCAGCAGCGCCACCCAGGCGGGTGGTTCTAAATTTTTTCTTGTGACCTAAAAAACTCAAAACGTGTACCTATGTACCATATTTACCTTTTGTCAAGATTTCATTAAATGATTTTTCAACCAAAACAACATCGTTTTTATTTCATTTAAGCCAAGTGGGCACTATGTCAACACCGTTTGCTTTTCAGCATCTATGTAGGTAGATTTTTAACGATTTTCATTGACAAAACTTTGACAGAGAGTAAATGGATCACATAAGTACAAATTTGAAACTTTTGGCATCATAAAATAAAGTTCAGGATAAATGTGTTACGGTATGCATAGTTTAGGATTTTTTTGTGGCTTTTGCCCTTAAAGTTGTCCACTTGTGAGGAGGAGATATAGATGCATTGAATTTGAAATAGTATATTGCCCAATATGGGAAGGTAGTCCGCGCATCCATACGCTTCTCCAAATATATGCTCCATCTTCACCACCTCGAATGCTCCTAGAAGTTTCCCGCAATCATCCTCCAGTTTGTGGGTCAATGGCACTACATCCTTCTCTTGGTGGTTTCCACACGTGATTTCTTCTAATTGCAGCTCTTGTAGTTTCCCTCTTTTCTCAAACCAGCCATAAAACGTGCTTACTTCGATTCGGCCAGAGGGTCCAAACGCCCGCCGGGAAGACGATCCGCCGGCCGGATTCCTGTCTTGGATGCCAACTCTAACCGGCGGCGTTCGCTTCGATCCAGTTTCTGCGGTCCGCTGTGAAAGACGGCTCTCAAGCTCTGGTGGGACAGACTATGGAACTCCAGAACTCTGTTGCAGCAAGACACTGCCCAGAAAATATGGATTGCATCCTCCCAGTTCGCTTTGACGATATGTTACAGCTCCCTAACAGATGGACCCCTAGAACTACGTCGCCCGGAATGTAAAATTCGGGGGTATTTCTTGGGGTGAAGAAAGAAAAAATAAGAAATGCAGTTATGTTAGCCGTTCAGGTGTAAACACGAGGAAAGGTAGGGCGGCCCTAGTCGAAGATTTCGGTTTCCCTTGCTTTGGGATCCAAGGCAGGCCCCCGGTTCGCTCCGACAACGGGGCACACGTATTCAATATGTTGCAGCTCCCTTGCAGCCAGGTGTAACTTCAGCCCGCAATGCTGTCTCATGTACGAACAGATGCGTATTTGGGCTCCTTATGTTCATCCAACCTCCTTGTAGACCCACATTTCGGTATATGTGGGCATTTTCAGTGAAGTTTGGCTGGATATTAATGTGGTTTAATATGGACCCTTTTCTTCTTACTTCATGACGTGCCCTCTAATATTAAGAGGGGATAAATTATATACTTACTAACCTTCTAACTTTAGAGGCTCCCGACCCTCCTGTTGAAATCAATTTAGTGCTCATTTATCTCAGAGATTATCATTAGGTCCGCCGCCAAATGTAATAAAAAATTTACACATTCCCCACCGGATGAGCGATATGTGTGTTTGAACTTAATGATGTGATCGAATCCTTTCGTATGTCGATATTCACTTACGAGCGTGTTAATTACTTTCTTGAACCGATAGTAAACCTAAGGGATAATGACACAAATGATCCATGATCATCGGCTAAATATACAAGTGGTCCATGAATTTTCAATTTGCTCAATTTGGTCCATGAACTTGAGCTTAATGTGTAATGTGGTCCCTGAACTTTTAATTTCTTCAATCTGGTCAATAGACTTTTGGTACATGTTCAACTTAGTCTCCAAACTATATGAAAATGCCCTAAACTTGAATTGATGGAAGGACAATATTGAACATTTTCATATAGTTCGGGGACTAAGTTGAACATGTATCAAAAATTTAGGAACCATATTGTATATTGAGCTAAAGTTCAGGGACCGCATTATATATCGGGCAAAAAATCATGGACAATTTGTGTCATTATCTCTAAACTCGATCAAACCGGGTCATGGCCCCGGGGGGGAGGGCACATTGGGAAATTCGGTGTGCATCCACCGGGACGAGGTGGTCAAATAAAAAACAGGGAGGGGGGGGGGGATAAGAAATAACAGGAGCTCAAAAACGAATCAACGGTGCTGGACGAACCCGCAGTCTCATCTCCATCGTCCTCCTCCCTCCTCTCCTATCCAGCGTCCGATCCTCCCTGCACCATCCGATCTCTCCCCCCTCCCCCATCGCGCGCGCCAATTACAACTTCCCCACAGGTATTTCTCCGCTCCTTTCCCCACCCCCGCCATCACTTCCCTCAATTTCCAATCGCCGCCGTCGCCGTCGCCGTCGCTCCTCTTCCCCGTATCCCCCTCGGGCTGTCGCGATCGCTCCCGACGAGCTAGGGTTTCCGATCCCCCCGGCGGCGGCGGCGGCGGCGACGGCGGCGACGGCGGCGATGGAGCCCCTTCTCACGGCGCTCGCCGTTTCCTTTTCAGCTCGCTCGCGTCCTGCCCCTCGATCGTCCCGGGCGGCGCGATTATGGCGGAGGCTCCGGCGAGTCCCGGCGGCGGCGGCAGCCACGAGAGCGGCGACCACAGCCCCCGCGGCGGCGGCGGCTTCGGCGTCCGCGAGCAGGACAGGTACCTCCCCATCGCCAACATCAGCCGCATCATGAAGAAGGCCCTCCCCGCCAACGGCAAGATCGCCAAGGACGCCAAGGAGACCGTGCAGGAGTGCGTCTCCGAGTTCATCAGCTTCGTCACCAGCGAGTCAGTTGCTTTTGTGTGTGTGTGTGTGTGGGGGGGGGGGGGGGGGAAGGGAAACTCCTGTTTTTTCCCCGGCGGAAATGCGATTTCCGATTTCGGTGATTTTCTCCATCTCTGCGTGTGCGTGCGCGCGTGTGATTTTCCGTTATTGGATGGGCAGGGCGAGCGACAAGTGCCAGAGAGAGAAGAGGAAGACGATTAACGGCGACGACTTGCTCTGGGCCATGGCGACCTTAGGGTTTGAGGATTACCTCGATCCGCTTAAGATTTACCTGGCCAGATACAGGGAGGTTGGTGTTTCGTTCCTGTCTCGATGTCTATGATTGATTTTCTCTCGCTGTGAAAAAAAAAAAAAGAAGTGCCTTTACTGAGGGAAGAAGGAGATTTAGGTTAGTGGAGTAATCATGATGACAGGATGATTATGGATCTTGTAATTCATTTGTTGATAATTGCCTTCTTTTCATCCAGTGGTTATAAATTATTATGCTGATACATGAGTGCTTTGACTTCTCAATGACTGACTCTCTCTCTCTTTTCTCTCTCTCTCTCTCTCTCTCTCTCTTGTTTTTGCCCCTTGTCACTGGATGGGATTCTGCTCTATTTGCAGATGGAGGTAAATGTCAGGCTATTCCCGACTCTTCGTTTGCCTTCTTCTAGAACTTGCATTATTCTCGATATGACCTGGCATGCTGTCCCCAGTCCTTTGGTGTGGCTACTGTAGCACGTTTCTAATGCTTGAGCTGGTGAATTATTGGTTTTGGGTAGGGGGATACCAAGGGGCCAGCTAGAGGTGGGGAAACATCTGCTAAAAGAGATGGCGCCGCAGTTCAGTCAGCTCCTAATGCCCAGGTGAATTTTTGCGCGTCTTGTCAATCTGCGTATGGTGTCTCGTTTATTGTCATGTGATGAATGTTTTCATAACTCAATTTTTCTTGGATCTGTGGTTGCTTTGTGATTTGTGATTTTAATTAAGTCATCTTGTTTCTTATTTGCATTGATGAATTTGGAAGATTGCTCACCAAGGTTCTTTCTCTCACGGCACCAACTATTCCCATTCTCAAGTAACTCTAATCTCATTCCTCCTGGCTCTCTCAAATGTTATATTTTGCCACACTTTTTCTCAGAAGATGTTATATTGTATTATCTTTGGTCCTTCATATACATTAATTATCATGTGTTGAGACGCCACACCTTGAAGCAAATAATTGAGCCGACGCTTGTTTGGTAGGACCTCTTTTTATTGAATAGAATTTGGTTTCCTAGGAATAGGGAGTAATTTAGTCATCAGAGCTCCAATGATCAATATGTGGTGCTTTGCTCTGGGTTAGGCAAGCTTGTTGCAAGTGCTGGCCAATTTTCCGCATGATACGCTGATTATATGTGGTTTGTGTCTCCCTAACTCAATCAGATTTTGCCCCTCCTTTGCCATACTTAGCAGCATATACTTACTGGGTGGCGATGTTTTGAATTTCAAGCATACATGGATTCACAAAATGAAAGGGTCTCATTAAAGAAGCATCGAAACGAATATGAACGAATAATCTGCTGAAGCTTTTCGATAATCAACATGACTTATTAGGTCCTAATTAACCGGTTCCTTATCACTCCCTATGATCTGATAGTTCCTAGAAGCCCTTTTGAGAAATCTATTGTCTGTTGCCCTTTTTTCCCTTTTTCTTTCTACCTAGGCATTGGGCCTTGTTTCACTCTGAGTAGGGCCTTAAAAATCTTCGTCAAAACCTTTCAAGTTTTGTGTTGCTGTAGATCACTTGTGAAGAAAAAGCTAAATCAACTGAGGGAAAGTTATGGAATAGATCATTTTACATTCAGTTTCAATCACTTTACTGTTTTGCATAACCTTGTTAATCTTAGTTCCTTAATACATGCTTAATTCCTCCAGGTCACATCAGCTTTATGAGGGGCATAATGGTTTTGTGCTTGTTAAAGTTGCTAATGGACTTTATTTTTGTAAAAGGACATTGACAATCCCGAATAGTTGTACTTGGTCCGTCATGGATAATGTTCTGTTTGTATGTTTGCTTTGCCACTTAAAAGCATGATTACATAGGGCCATCTCTGGTCCTTCAATCAGTATTTGTCGAGGAGAAACTGAATTGCTTAGCGACTATTCTAGGTTGTATCTATTACAAAAGAACATCAAGCACATAATCCAAACTGATCTTTCTCTGATGGAAGTTTGTTGGAGCTTGAGTTCTACCATGGGCCTGTAGGTAGAACATGTCATCCTATTTTGTCAGTGTAATCATTGGACTAGAATCTACTATATACATACTATTCTTGCCTCTCCACGTCACCACATACCACATATAACTTCATCAGACTCTTCAGCGTGCTCACCACATGGGTATACTTTGAGTTGTTGGACATACTTGCTAGTTGTTATTGCTGATTAAGGAGCCAAAGTGGTACACAGAAAGATATGGCATTGGCATGGCATAGTACAGAGAGAATTTGAAAGACTTGTAAGAGTATGATCTATGTTAGGGTAGTTGTATAATGGAGGCTAGAGTGGAATAGCTAATTATCATAGTAGTCTTCAATTAGGTTAGAATAGAGGTTTTCATAAAATGGAACTTCGTAGGCAAATTAGATGAACAAAGACCACCCAAACATAAGATACAATAAAATCAATTATTATTGCGTATTATGATAATTTATATCCATAGAACAAGGAAATACGACCAGTCCATTTTGATATAAATTACTCATACTCTATAAGGAAACTTCACGCTTTTATTCCTTTCTATTCTTAAGTAGCCCATAAACCTTGAATCTACTTTTTGAATAATTAATCAGATAGATATATATATTTTTAAAAGATGGTTTCGAGGAGAAATGGATCCTTCCTCCTGTTGGTCAATCGACTGACCCTATTCTTAGATCTCGTTCGTGAGTAGAGAACATCAATTTTTAAAGTACTAATTTTATTATCTAAACTATTTTGCTATTTTTTTGACTCTATAAATGATGTTTGGTAGATTTGAAATTTGCAACTTGATATGTTGGTGTTTGAAAATATAATACTAATTTGCATAATTGACGTCCACAAGCTGAAAGGCATCTGGAATCTTATCCAGCTGTGAATTTTCTTGACACATGCTTCTAACCACTTCCTTTTTATATGAAAATCCATCGTGATATTGGCTGTTGTTACCGCCTCTTCTATTCGTAGCTCTTGATAGATAACTGGTGATTAATTTAGAAACTATTCGTACGTCGAAGAGTATTTTCCACTTCCTCATTGTGATCTATTTTGTTCCTTGGGTGTTTTCTGCAGGTTCACCATAGTGCGCTTCCGATGCATGGCGCAGAATAATCACTTGTTGCAAACCCATTGCATGAGATGAAGAAATCATTGCTCTCGTTCCTAGCGTTCAACTCATCTCGGCATCAAGATATTTATGAGATGTGCTGCTGACGTTTTAGGCTGGTCTCTGTCAATCGTGTTCATTTGGAGTCGTTTTCCATTGGGCTGTATATTTTAGCATCTGCATCATATTTGCTTTCGGCCTTATATATGTCTGGTTTAGATTCACTTGATAATGTAGAAAGGTAAGCCCTGCAAGTATTTATCTTATTGTCATTTAGAGTGGGCACCCGATGAGGACAAGAATGAAGTTTCTTTGGTAGTTCTCCGTGTTTTGTTGGAGTCGTCTTGTGTATTAGTATTCCTGAGTTGAAACTTGTGACCAATTGGTATGCACACGGTTCACGTTTACGTGACAATGTTCAGGTCTGAGTGTATAATCCATAATCCAATTCAGATCGTATGGTGCAATTGCATTATTTTTGTATGTGATTGAGTCGTCAGTTTGAACATGTTAGAGAAGCCTTCCTCTGGCAAGTAAATTAGTGTTGTCGTTAAGAGACACGATGATTTGAGTTTTGATTTCGTACTAATCTATGACTTCATGTCGTAATTGTGTCACGTCAAATTAACAACTCTAAAAGCTAAACATGAAATATTTATTGAACCGCTTCAACAAGTTTAGCAAATGTACTTATGGTTTGCATAAAAGTATGCTGTGATTGAGGCGAAGAAATCAATCTCCACGTACCGAAAGTATCGTTTGTGTACAAGTTCACTCATTTAAATCGTAAACAAGCCAAACCATATGCTGTGTACGGTATGGTGATGCAAACGTGTTCACCGTCTTGTATACGGTCGTGTCCAAAATGCGTGCCCTGTCTATGATTCTCGAAAGAGTGAACATGCATTCTTCTTTTCGGACGTGGCAAAGGTTGTCATCTCTGATGAGAGTCTGTAGAGCCAACTTGTATTGATTGCGCTCATTCGAAAAAGGACACGAAAACGAAAAAGAAAACTTTTGACCAACTTCATCTAGAAAGCTTTACTTGTAAAAAGGTAGGTGTGAGGCCCTCCTGGCATCCCGCGAGACCATCGGAACAAGTCGGGGCAACGCGAGTTCCCTTCATGGTCGTTCAAAAAACACGAGAAAAAGAAAGGGTGCTTTGGCCTCATATGGCTTGGGTATGCACAAGTGGTGTTTTATGTAAGTATCGGCTCGGGTCAAGGCTAGATTCAGTTCAAGCGTAGACCTTAATGGTTCGGTTCGGTTCGGTTCTGGTTTTCAAGCATATTATTATTATTATGTTGATGTTATATGTTTGTTTTTATTTTATTGCTATTATAAAATGAACATCATACTGTTATTAGTTACTATTTGAAAGTTCTAGAAAAGTTGCTATAACTCTCCTTTCAGGAAAAAATAATAACGATAGGGAGGACGGAACATGGAAGTGACGATGTCGATGAGTCATTTGGTTGTTTGATGGAGAAGAATTTTGGTTAAAAAATTGGAACGAAAAAGATTGGAGGTGGCGATGGAGAAGTTTTTTGGGGCGTTGAAAAAAAGAAGTAAGGAGACAATTAGAAACGTATTTGGGGACAAGAGAAAAGGTAGGGTTTTTGTATGGTGTTTTTGTCCTAATAAAACACATTTGAGATAAGTGCATCATAAATCCTAAAATTTATTAAAAAACTGCAATTGAATGCTAACAATTTTAAAAAGTACAATAAAATGCTAAAACTTATCGTGCAATCAAGCTTTTCTATTAATTCCATCCAGATTGAAATGGCGAAAAATGATGACTTTATTTTTCATTTTCCTTCTCCAACGTGGCCATTTGCTTAATTGAATAGTCCACAATGGATCAAAACAAGGACGTACTCTTCACCTTTAGCCCTTCAAAATGGCGTCGTAAATTGGTCTTATTCGTTCGAGCCCTAGCCTCATTGAAATCGAGGGAACAATCGGGGTTATTGCAACTCCAAAAAGTCGTTGCAGATCGTTGGAATTCGAAATTTTGCCTAAGCATCCATAAATTGCCAAACATAAGAATGGCAACCAAAAGAATGAGGCCGCCAACATCTGAATCAAGTGGCATAACTCCTAATGAAGTCGACTCAAGGCTAACTTTCTATTGTGGCCTTCAATTACCAATTCTCCGGCACACAAATGTAGAAAGCACATCAATCCAAGTATACGGTCTCTTGTGGTCCTTTTAAGTTTGGCCTTACATTCAAAAATCTTAAGCCTTTCCATGTGGTTGGTCCCAAACCCCTGTTTTTCTTCCTAACAAAAGCAACATGCTATCAAGGAGATGCTCTAGCATGAGCGGACCAAGGTTGTGCACTGGCTGCGGTTGGGGGTTTGGAACTATAAATGTTTAAAGTTCGCGAACAATTAGATTCTTTTTTAATATAACTCCATTTGTTTCACAAAAAATAAATAATTTAGAAAATATTTTCCTAAAAATGATCACTTGTATCGCTTGAAATAATCAATCAATGAAAAATATTTCATTATCGATAACAATTTATATCTAAAATATTTTCATAGATGATGAATTTTTTTTTGCTCGTTCATTTTTGTAAGCAATACGAGCAATCATTTTTAAGGAATATATTTTCAAAATCATTCATTTTCCATGAAACAAACGCATATGGTTGAATTTTACAAATATTTAAGGCTAAAGTGGGAAAACAGGTAATAACAAGACAATTGTGAGGATTTTTCTTTTGCTATTTGGTCAATTTTCAAACAAAGGTCTGAGGTTGAAATCCTTATGTAGATTTTCTTATCATATAAGAAGATATGAAGAAAATTTTCGCTTTTTGGCACATGCGTGTGCGCGAGTGCACGCTCTTTTAGTGGTAAGTACAAGTAAGCTGGCCATTGTGGCATATGCTTTCCGGGGCCTAACACTATCAACATTTTTTGCCACATTCGTTTTAATTTAGTAATCAAAAGCATGTTGGCGTCTTCAGTTCTAATTTTGATAAATAAATAAAAAAAATCTCAAGAATAACCTCAGATAAAATAATAAAAGTGTCGATTTGTTTTCAAGTAACTTATATGCACCAACATAACATATGCACACAATGATAAATATCAATATTTATTTTTCATTCTTATTACTATTATTTTAGGTGAAATTATCTTCATAGTCATGACTCAACTATGATTAAGATGTTTATTGATATAGTCATGGATCTCCTACCTTCCCAATTTGAATTCAAAACAATTGTCAAGTATTCCCTAAATCTTTCATCTTTTCTGATTACGCGAAAAATTAAGATTATATTTTTAAAAAAATGGATGAAAATCTTTACATACTACTTTATTCTTCATTAGTTCAATTATTTCAACTATTTCTCTTCCCACGGAAGACATGTGCTCTTATTCTGACACTAGCATCCAATATCCCAAATCATATCTATCATGCACTCTAAAAGTTATAATATTCAAGAGGAAAACATGTAAAAAGAAATATAAAAGAAAGTCAACAGAATTTTCGGTACTTGATATTTTCTCATCTTCACATTTCCTCCCCACACTCCCATGATATACATAGGACCTTTTTTTTTAATTTCAATTTCATTTTCGTTGGCATGCAACAAATGTTCACCAACAGAAATTTAATATATCTAAACAAATCTGTCGGTGATATAAAAAAAATATCCTAAAAGGATATTGTATAAAATATATGGGTAGACTACAACTTGATAAGATTTATATATACTATACATATCCATGACAGATCTCTCTCTCTCTCTCTCTCTCTCTCTCTCTCTCTCTCTCTCTCTCTCTCTCTATATATATATCTTGGTAAGATTCTATCTATTTAACATATATATTATAGATACATATAGATAGACTATGAAAATTTAAAGAATGCAATAATATAAATCCATATTAAGCTTGTATAATGCAATCTAAACAAAATCTCAAATGTCGAACCCTGACCCAAACTCACAAAGCTGTGCACCTAATAGATATTCTCTTTATTATTTACTAGGAACGCGTAAAGAAGGTCATGGAAAAATCGATTGTGTCGGTTTTATTTCCTAAAATAACCAATTTTTTCTCGAAGATATCTTCTTCTTTTTTTGTTTGTCATATCTCTAACTCTCCTTTTTCTCTGACTTTAACTCTGCCTCTTGCAAAGGAGTCGAATCCTGCACCTGTGTTACCAGCGTCCCCACCCTGTAAGCATGTAAATAAACGGTTCTTTTTAAAAAAATTGATGTTTAAAGATTTTATCTAACCTGGAATTAAAGTTTTTAATTTTTTGGAAACGGTGGAAAAATTTGAGTGGTGTATCTCACCTGCTTCGAATCATGATTTTATCCATAGTTTTAGTAATGAACGATAAATTCGCTACGACAGCTTCTACCGTCGTATCTTCGGTTTGTTAAAGCTTTTGCCAATTATCATCTCCACCGCATCTAAGATATAACCAAAAAGGATTTCAACCTTACTTTTACAAAATTAATTTCACGAAATCTCAGTTCTATTATTAAATGTGGATGAGGATAGTATACTCCACGTAATCGAAAAAAAAATTATAATTTATAAAAAAAAGGGGTTAACAAACGTAGTAGCATCCCCTAAAATGTCTTTACACATTCTAAATATAAATCCAAACCGTGGATAATCATCACACGCCATCCGGCGCACCGGGGATCAACATGCACCTCATCATAAAGCCGTTCGATCCGGCGAGTAACGCAAACATCCCGCGAAAATGTTCAGATCGGACGTCGGCGGAAGACGAGATGCCCGACCGATCGCCCCCCCCGTGGCGGGCCGCGTCGGTGGATCTCATCAGCTCACTCGGCGGCCCTTGGGTTAAGAAAACACCCCCTTATCACGTGGGGTCCCACGGCGTCATCACATCTGACGGCTTGAAAGATGGGTTTTACGGTAGGCGCGGATGGACACAATACTTTCTCGCCAAAGCAGATTACCATGGGATCTCGCTCTCTCTCTCTCTCTCTCTCTCTCTCTCTCTCTCTCTCCGTATATATCATCTCCTTTGAAAACTTCCCAAACAAACAGTGTCCTTGCTTACAAATACGACACGCGACGATATCAGCAGACCGAAGCCAAGTCGGGGGAGGAGACGACGGCGGAGGACGGCGGCGGGCGACGGCGGAGGAGGATCAACCGCGGAAACGCGAGCGCCGACAGATTTCGTTTCCTCTTTCGTCCGCGTAAATCGAGGCCTTCGATAATCTCTCTCTGGTCGGAGAGACCGGGGGTGATCGATCGGCTATTTTAGGTAACAACGCTCGAAAGATCGCTGTGATTTCCCTCGTCCCTTTGTTCTCTCTGGAATTCGATCCTTCCTTTTTTTTTTTTTTTTTTCCGATTTTGGTGTTGGGGATGGATGTGTGAAGTAGAATCTGCCCGTGAATGTCCTGAGTGGTGATGATGATGATGGTGGTGATGATGGTGATGGTGATGGTGATGGTGATGGTGATTGC